CACCCCCACCATAAACAGACCTTCTTCCAGCTTCTCCAAAGGCTCCTCGGCCATGCCAACTCCAGGACTCCTGCACTCATAGGACGGCAACACCACCTCTAAAGCACAGAAGAATTTCAGGCTCTGCTTCTCAAGTGGTACCGTAGCATCTTCATTTTCTCTTTCTTCGAGGTCAGAAAGATCCTGAAGCTGTTAGGATTTTACATTAAAGGTCCTTCCTAGGATCTCAACATAGACTTCAAGATGTTTTGTCATTAGAAATAAAAACTAAACTCCAGTAAACCCAGCTAACAGTTGAGGTCCTATAGCTTCAAAATCAAGTAAGACTTGCAAATGAATTATTAAATACAGACAACTAGTTTTTTTTACTCTATACCCTACAAATACTGGCAAAAATTCTGGACATCACTACCCAAGTCATTGAAAGTATTATTAATTCTAGGTGGCAGGCCGATGCTCAGGTCCTTCCACTTAGAAGCCTCTCACATCTTCTCCCCACACCCAGTTCTCTCCTCTCTGAAGTCCAGGATTTCAGTGTTGAAATGAGTCTGATTAGCCAAAGAAAATCTATAAAGTTTACCTTGATGATCCTTTTTGACCATCCATTGAAACCAAAGTAATAATTTGCCAATTCTTGGCACTGGGAGCTATTTAGGGCAAGGGCCTGATGTTGAACTGCTTTATGTTTGGTGCCAAGACGAACCTAAAGACATAAGAGAGAGACTGAAAAATATCACAACCTGCCACAGAGGCTTATTTTGGATACACCTGAGATTGATCAATACCTATTTCAGAGACTCGCTGTGAAGATTAAAAAGGAAACACCATTGTAAGCAATGAGCTCATAGTAAGCCCTGAATAAATGGTATTCATTATTTTTAAGCTCCAGTACTTTTCTGCATCATTTCCAGGGCTCCTGATTGAATTGGAAGATTTCCCTGACCTCTGGTGGTGAGAGTGATGATGAAAGCCACTAAGGAGGCCCTCCAGAAGCAAATTATGTAGGTGAGCAAAGGAAAGAAATTGTTTTTGTTGTCCCATCCTGTAGCTCGTTTGAGAACATGACCTGAAGAGCCGACAAGATGGACCTGACATGGAGGTAGGACCTTAATCTGCAGCACACTGCTCCCCAAGTTACTAACCTCTAGAACAAGGAATATACATACCTCTAAAAATTTTATAAGCAACTAAACAACTAGAGGTTCATTTGCATTAATAAGCTCCTTTGAGAATGCAAATACTTCCAGTCTAACTTACGCTCTATGGTGAATTTATTAAATGTTCTGTCTTAAATGTCTATTTCAACTTTAAGCAGGGTGTAGTATAGTAATATATTCATAAAGATTCAAATAATGCAAATGAAGTCACAGCACTATTAATTCTTTATTGATTTGTTCGTGCATCTTCCTCTATCACTAGTTTATAAGCCCCTTAAGTGCTTGAAGGAACCATCTCTTACTCTTTTCTCATTCCTAAAACCGAGCACATTCTGTTGTTGATTGAGTGAACGAATGAAAGAATGGGTGATAAGAAAATAAAATTACTTTCTCCAGCTGAAGCTGCATGCTGGAAAGAAGAAATGAAGATGAACTTTTAAATGTTGAGTGCTGCAGGCGAGGCTAATGGCGAGCCATAGTGGAGCTGTTCTGGATAAGAAGGAAGCTTCAGAAGGGCCCCGAGCCTCTCTGTCGGAGAAATAGTTGTCACCTTGGGAAAGCTTGCCAGTTCCTGCTGCCAACCATTTTCCTTCATGCTACTGAAAAAAACTCTCTCAAATACCTAAGGCCTTTCCTTGATTTATTTTATTTAAGACATTATTCTTTTTCCTGTATTTATAAAAGGCAAACAACAACAACAACAAACCCAACCAGGAACTATATGTAGTTGCCAAAGTAGAAAAGAACACATAAGTAAATTGGATAACAATTTTGGAAAGCAGGGGTAATAACCCAAGGTTCTGTGTTAAATAAAAAAAGAGATCTAATATGAATACGCTCTCCTGTCAACTATATACTGACTTGTAGAACATTTCCTTCATCACTCTCAGTGATGCGCTTTATGCTGTTAAATCTCAAAACCTAAATTTATGAAATGATCTTAATGTCCAATGAGAGACAAAAACCTCATTTCTTACAACTGATACAAAGTAATTGTTTCATAATCTATAATATCTGAGTGGCTATGTGAACTTTTCACAGGCTAGAAACAGGCAGACCATAGTTTGCAAACTAAAGAATGTCTGACAGGTCATCATTTCAATCACAGGGAGTGAAGCCAAGATTGAAGAGGGTGTTGAACAAGTAGGCAGTATACCTAGAGTCACATCTGAGCAGAGTTCTCAGATTCAATCAAGGTTAAATCAATAAGGAAAGGCAAATGATAAGAATAGGCAGCCACGTGGGGCGTCTGGGTGGCTCAGTTGGTTAAGCATCTGCCTTCGGCTCGGGTCATGATCCCAGGGTCCTGGGATGGAGCCCCACGTCCGGCTCTCTGCTCGGCGGGGAGTCTCCTTCTCCCTCTCCCTTTGCCTGCCACTCCGCCTACTTGTACACACTCTCTCTCTCTCTCTCTGTCAAATAAATAAATAAAATCTTAAAAAAAAAAAAAAAAAAGAATAGGCAGCCACATCAGTATGAAGTAGCCAGATTAAGAAGCCAGTTAGAGAAGGCTGACAAAGACATACAATTACAAAGTGAAAGGTTTGGAAATCTAAGTCTCACTCACTTATTCAGAGGAAATGACATGGTCCTTGATAAAGAAATGGTGATTGAATTGAGGCACATACTGAAATATAATTCTGGGGCTCTGGGAAAGTAAAATGGACAGCATGGTTAGTATGGAATAAAGTTCCTGTAGTGCACTAAAGAATGTTTTAACCATTTTCTGGGAATTGAAGGGAGTCCTGAATAGGCAGTTTGAGACTGATGATGATGATAATGACGATGAAGCATCCTTTATAAATACAACAGATGAAAGGATTTGTCATTTTTTTTTAAGATTTTATTTATTTATTTGAGAGAGAGAGAGTGAGAGAGAGAGCACAAGAGCGAAGAGGAAGAGGAAGAAGCAGACTCCCCGCTGAGCAGGGAGCCGGACCGGGATCATGACCGGAGCTGAAGGCAGATACTCAACCGACTGAGCCACCCAGGCACCCCTAGATTTGTCATTTTAAATCCACATAATAGTAAATATAAGCAAGACTCTTCCTGTTAAGATTTCTTAAATTAAAGGGCAGGATAAAATGCCACGGGGTTTAGTATCAGTAAGTTGGGGTTTGATCTCTAGCTTCCAGTTATTATCATGAACCGTAAGTAAGTCACTTAACTGTCTTCAGTTCGAGTTTCTTCGTCTAAAAAAAAGCAAACAAACAAAAACCCAGGGAAACCGGAGGGTCGATGTAGCAATGCATCTGAAAGCATTCTGTAAGTCAGAGTGCTGCACAAATGCTAGTCTATTACAACGGAATTCAGCACTCCGTCCCAGGGGAGTTAGGAATTTCCTCTTTGGACCCACCTGCACTGGAGGATTCTGAAAAAGATGCTTCTCGTGGCATGCCATTTGAGCTCTGTGAGCATCCCTTGCTGAATAAAACTTGATGATGGCATAGAAACCAGGACGGGCCACTGCAGCGTTTGGGAAGACTCGGATCGAATACAGAAGGTCCAACTGGGAGAATACTGTGAACAGAGAATGCTGTGGGGTGGTCCCACGCCAAGTAAGTGCATGAAATTTCACGCCCAGAAACCAAAACTGCCCGTTCCCTTATATTCCCTAAACCCTTCTGCACATACAACCCCAAGCTCTTCTCATTTCATGAACAGGTCTCCCTCTGAAATCTTAGGATTCGAGAAGCATTAGAAGGCAACACGTGCTGGCTGTTGAGAGTTACCTCTCAGAAATCTGTTGGGGCTGATAGACTGCTGAGGTCCCCTCTAGAACTAAGATTCCTCACGGCAGAGACTACGAGGCGCGTGAGGCTAAGGCCAGACTCCAGGGCTGCCAGTCACGACGGGGTGGGGGGGGGGGACACACGGCGTTCTCCCTCCCTCCCTCCTGACTGGGCTCACATGCAAAGCCTCCGCCGTGGGCCCAACTCAGCTCCCACACCAGCAAGGTTCTGTCGCTTTCGCTGGGAACTGCAAACGAGACCACCTCCGCCATCCTACCACCACTGCGCATGCGCGGCTAAGGTTCAAGCGGCAGTGCGCCTGCGCAAGGCGCGCCCGCGCTTTTTTAAAAGGTCTCGTGCGAGGGGCGGGGCCAGCCCCGCGGGGGTGGGGCGAGGGCTGTTCCCAGTCCTCTCCCTGGCCCCTCCCACTCGGGGCGGGTCTCTGACTACTTCCCGTCCAGCTGCCCCACCACATCGAAGTCGTGTTTAGTGCTTCTTTTTTTTTTTTTTTTAAAGATTTTATTTATTTATTTGAGAGAGAGAGAATGAGAGAGAGCACATGAGAGCGGGGAGGGTCAGAGGGAGAAGCAGACTCCCCGCCGAGCAGGGAGCCCGATGCGGGACTGGATCCTGGGACTCCAGGATCGTGACCTGAGCCGAAGGCAGTCGCTTAACCGACTGAGCCACCCAGGCGCACTTAGTACTTCTATTCAAGTGTATTTTTAGGGTAGAGTCCAAAGGGTGAGCTTACAGGATCCTAGGGTACGGATATCTTTATAGCAGCCAGTTTCAAAATCCTTAAAAAGTGTTCCTTGATTTTCCTACGTAATTTTGGTGAATTGTTTAAGTGTGCTTGTTGGGATGAGAGGGTGTGGGAGTTTGGCAGGCAGGGTGAGAAGGAGATATAAATTTGGAAAAAATCAAAGAGTGAGTCCAAGTAGGGCACCAACACTGGAGTTCATGGTGCCCTTGCAAAAGGGCCATTCTAAGCACCCAGTCAGCTATTTTGAGGACTAACACACTAAGACGGAAAATAGGTCCTAATGATCCTTATTTTAATCCTGGAAGCCTGAGCCAGAAGGGACCTTACAAAACATCTCCTGAGGTTTCCAAACAATGGTCTTCAGACTGGTGCTGGTCTGTTAGGAAGTTTTCACCAGTCCTTGGAAAAACAAGAAAAGGATAATATAATCAGGGTTTAAAATTTTTTTTCATAAAACAAAATCTATTCCATTTTACTATGCTACAAATATGACCTTCAGTTTTCTTTCTTTTTTAATTTCTTTTTTATTTTTTTACTTTTAAAATATTTTATTTGAGAAAGCGAGAGAGAGAGAGAGAGAGAGAACACAAGCTGGGGGGAGGGGTAGAAGGAGAAGCAGACTCCCTGCTGAGCAGGGAGCCTGATGGGGAACTCCATCCCAGCAGCTCCCAAGATCATGACCTGAGCCCAAGGCAGACACTTAACCAACTGAGCCACCCAGGCACTCCATGACGTTCATTTTTCATGTTAAAAATTGTTCTACGATAGTTGTTTTGATTAATACTCTTACTTGGGTATTAAAATAAAAAGTTAGGAATCTTAACATGGGTTAACTTTTTTGACGTTTTAGTGGTCTGTGAAATCCAAAAGTCAAGGCTCAGAAGTGGGGACATCAGTGGCCCAAGTGGGACGGTTTAGTCAAACGGTACTGATGATAGCTATGTGCAGGACATTTCTCCAACGGCCCCTTTTCTGTTTTGCATTGTCCTTCTGCAGGTTTTTCTCCACATCAGCACCTTCAGATCCCAAACAGGGATGCCTTTTTTTTTTTTTAACATCTAGATTTTAGCCCATTCTCTGAAACCACCCAAATCATTGGCACCTGGCACCATCTATCAGCCCCAACACCACTTTCTCCACCTCAATATACAAGACCCTTAGCTCCACCCATTACCTACTTCTGAACTTTCTCTTTTACTTTGAAAATAGTTGGCTTTGGAGGAATAACTGGGATCCTGATGCTGTTTCAAACCAAAAATTGTAGATTTTATTACCCATTTCATTATCCATTGTATTCATTGTATGTATCCACTCATTGTACCCATTAATTGTGTATGTCTCTGGGTAGATTATGAACACCTCAGGAACAATAGTTATGGTTTATTTTCCTTCTTCTAGTACCTACCACACTCCTACTAGATTAGGTACTCCAATATATGTGGAATTAAAAATGAATATATCAACACATTCTTTGCACAAGGAATGCTTTAATAATTCCCCAGATATAACAACTTCTTCATTGTGGTCCTCTTGGTTTGCAATGACAGTCAGGAACCAGAAGGTCTGGGCCCAGATGGGTGCAAGGAGGAAGCCCGAGAAAACCATTTATTCCTGGGGCTCTGGTCAGTTTTATTTGTAAATGGGAAGGAAAGAAAATAACATGAAGTGGAGGCAAGAGGAAGAGGAAATGAAGAATTCCCGAGTGAGAAGAGGAGCTCTGAAATGACTCCACAGCAGCCCTTCCCCCGTCTCATCCCAAGAAACATCCTGTCATCCAGTAGGAGAGGGGCCGGCCTGCACAGTGCAACCTCCACGCTACCCTGAGGAGAGAAAGATTGGTTCTTGCTTTACCGCTTAGTAAGCTCCTTCTCCACATACATGGCCCAACTCTTAGTGAGTCTCTTAGGCAGAGCAGTGCTCAGAACCTCCTTCATTCCTAGCTTTCTGGTCTGTCCCCCTGTGGCCCCTCTGATTCTTCCTTTAAATTTCCTTATCTCTGGTGTTTGTCCGCTTCCCCCATTCAGTATGCTTCCACATTTTCACATCCTATCTCCCTCTGAAGTGGGAGAGCACCATTTTACGAGGCTGAGATTTCCTAAATAAATAAAAAGATAAATAAATAATCAATCAATCAATCTCAGGCACAACCATTGACTATCTCTCCAGAAAGGGTCAGCCCTAATAGTCATCAGTGTCCTTTCTGCTTGGTATTTCTAGAGTAGGCAAGGCACTTGACTCCTCCATCCACACAGACGCCTAGAGAGACAGCCTAGAGAGGACTAGAAAGGGTCTAGTCCTTGCCTAGTGTGCCTTTCTCTGTCACTACATCCTTCCTGGGGCTCTGCCCGCTAACGTAGTCCCACAGTGTCCTCCTCACCAGTTCTTCATCCCCCCTGCTCCGGACACAATCTTTTTTGCACAGCTGATGGTTGAGAGAAGATTGGGGCTCAGTAGGTCTGAAAGGGAGAGAGAGAGAGTACCTGTAAGAACACAGAGGACAGTCCCAAAGACTGAGGCAGACATGGCTGTCCCCGCGCTGGCATGCGCCACCCGGGGGCTGAGTACTTCCAGATTAAGCAAGGCCTCCCTTCCAGAGGCCCGTTTAGACATCCCTACGATGGCGGTCGGGGGTGTTGGGGGTCGGGGCAGGAGGGGCAGGACAACTGTTTATCACCATACTTCCTAACTAGGGTAGATGGTGGTTCAGCCCACGTTTGAGGATTTCTAGGGAAAGGAAATGTCAAAACAGGCAGCACAGAGACCAAGGTAAATCTTGCCTGATGAGGGAGGCTCTTCAGGTGGAGAGTCCAGGGATATTTTTTTTTTTAAAGCAGAATTTTTTTTTTTTTAAAGATTTTATTTATTTGAGAGCGAGAATGAGAGACAGCATGAGAGGGAGGAGGGTCAGAGGGAGAAGCAGACTCCCCGCCGA